TCCCATAGATCCACGGATCCAAAAGAGTTGGAATGGGAATAAAAACAATGCATTAATTTAGAAATCTCATAAACATATTCAAAATAGAACATACTAAACATATAAAACAAATTTTACAATTTTAAGAAAAAAACTTCTAGTAGATTTACACCATCCACCTCCTGATGTCTTTGTTCTTTGTTCTTTTAAACCATAAAGAAAAGCTTTCAGAAAGTCTCTTTCTCAGCAAATCACTGCAATTGCTGTTTCCCTATGAACGTAACAAAAAATTTCCATCAATGCTGATTGAAAAAAAAATATATATATATATATTACTTGAAACACGCATCTTTTTGTAAACAATAAAAAATAAGAATGGGTTGTTTTGCTTGTCGTCCACTGACACAAAAAAAGCATAGAAGCAACTGTGCAACAATATCTTTTAAGTCATTTAATAAATTCTATGATATTGACTTTAGAAAATGTCCCCAAAACTGTGTCAATGTTTTTTTAAATGTCTGAATTAATGCAGCTGAGAATAATTTACAACATTTTACGTTTCGTGTCGTCCCTGTCTCAGCTCATCTGTCCCACAACTTCAAAAAAAATGCTTGTTGTTCCAAAAATCGAAGAGGAAATGGAAAATCCTTCATTAAAATCACTTTAAACAATATAATTTGGGATGTTGGATGTATGTTGGTTCATAAAAATTACTTTTTACATTCAAAATTAACCAAGTTTTTATATCTGCATGGTTGTGCTTGTTATTGATATTAAGGAATATGTAGAGTTGTTTAAAGTAGTCTGTAGACTCACATAATGTCTTCCACGTRTTTGTATTATGCCCATTACAATTTGCTCAGTGTTCAGAAAGTGTACGACATCACAGTGGCTCAGTGGTGTGGACTGAATGGAAAAAGTTGCAATAAAAAAGGAACATTTTTTAGGGTTAAATGTCCCTGCTGTGAGGCAGCCGGTCCAACAGAAAACCTTTWTCCAAACAAACACGCTTCTCCTCCTCCTCCATCCCCAACACAGAGGCTCAGAGCATCCCGAGACTGAAACTCTCATCCTTTCCACCACCGTCCGAGATTAAATCATGAAATCATTTAGTGTTTGTGTGGTCCTCCCTCTCTGTCTCCCCGTCCCTCTCCGGGTCTGTGAGGAGAAAGGATGGACTGGGTGTGGAGAAGAAGAGGAGCTCCCAGTCAGCGTGTGGGAACCACAGAGGAAGAAATCCCCAGTTGATCCTGGCCAAGACACTTTGTTTTTCTGCCCTCTGCTCCCAACCATTCCCTCCCTCTCTCTATGTCCATCCATTTTTTGGGGTTTTAATTTTTATTCATTGGGTGATCGGTGCAGAGGGAAGGGTGTCGAGAAAGCAGGGGGCACTGTGTGTGTGTGTGTGTGTGTGTGTGTGTGTGTGTGTGTGTGTGTGTGTG